TAAATCACGTGTGAGTCCAGCAAATAGTGCACAAGTCAGGGATAACGGGTGCCTTCCTGTGCCCTGGTGTTAACATCTCAGAGACAAAACTTACTGTTTAAGCTAGTAAAAGTGGTATCACACAGGCTGGGGAGTTGTCACATGGGACAAGCCAATAAGCTACAGTAGAACTGTCATTAGTCAAAAATTAAGCTTTAATGACCCCCTAGAAGTCAATTTAACTATAGGAGGTCTATTGAGCTGTTCAAGAGTAGCTGATCTGATGAGTCAGAAAAGGAATTCCATTAGCAAATCCATATCCAATGGAAAAAATGCTATTTTGCGGAACAAATTGGACTATATGAATATAATGGAATAATTGCACCATAAGAATACTAAGAATTCAGACATGTAGTAAGACTTGTAGTAACAGATTTAAAGCAAAATAAACAGAACCAGGGTAACAAATTATACAATGGCCACCATAATGTAAACTAGAGGTTCTTAGCCTTCAGTCTATGAACTTTCCTTTTTAATATTTTGATAACTGTATTTCAGCACAACCGGTTTATTTTGTGATCCTGTGTATTTATTTTATGCAATTAAAAGCATTATTCTGAGAAAAGATCCATGGACTTCTTTAGACTGACAAAAAGGTCAATGAAAGTTGAGAATGGAAAGGAAAACAATATGAAAAAAATCTCAAAACTAATCAATGCAAGGACCAACTGTGGCTTTAGAGGACTGAAATAAAGCATACTTCCTACCTCCTGACAGTGAGATGGTGGACTACAAGTGTGGAATGAGGCATACATTTTTGTATCATTAATATGTTGTTACATTTTGCCTAACTGTACATATTTTTTCATAAGTACGGATCTCACTGACCCAGGACGGGGGAAGGATTGGGAAGTGACAAGGTTGTTAACAGCACAAAAAAAAAATCAATAAAAATAATTTTAAAACTATCTTTTAAAAAAAAAGAATGTCAATTTGTATTCAGATAGCCCATCTTAATTAAGCCCTGTCTTTCTTTGAAATACAAACTTTACCAGTTTCTGGGATAAGAACTCACTGTTTGACAAAAATTGCTGGGAAAACTGGAAAATAGTATGGCAGAAACTAGGCATAGACCAACATCTTACACCCCATACCAAGATAAAGTCAAAATGGGCACACAATTTAGATGTAAAGGCTGATACTATAAGCAAAATGGGAGAGCAAGGAATAGTTCACCTGATCAGATTTATAGAGAACAGAAGAATTTATGAACAAACAAGAGATAGAGAACATTATGAAATACAAAATGGGTAATTTTGATTACATTAAATTGAAAAGTGTTTGCACAAAGTCAATGCAACCAAGATTAGGACGAAAGTAGAAAACTGGAAAGAATTTTTACAACCAATGTCTCTAATAAAGGCCTCATTTCTAAAAGATATAGAGAACTAAGCCAAATTTATAAGAATATAAGTCATGCCCCAATTAATAAATGGTCAAAGGATATGAACAGGCAGTTTTCAGAGGAAGAAATTAAAGCTATCTATAGTCATATAAAAAATGCTCTAAATCACTATCGATTAGAGAAATGCAAATCAAAACAGCTCTGAGGTAGCACATCATATCTATCAGATTGACTAACATGACAAAACAGGAAAATGATGAATGCCAGAGAAGATGTGGGAAAATTGGGACACTAATGCATTGTTGGTGGAGTTGTGAACTGATCCAACCATTCTGGAGAGCAATTTGGAACTATGGCCAAGGGGCTGAAAAACTGTGCATACCCTTCAACCCAGAAATACCCCTTTTATGTCTGTATCCCAAAGACATCATACAAATTAGAAAAGGACCCAGATGTATAAAAATACTTATAGCAGCTCTTTTTGTGGTGGCAAAGAACTGGAAATTGAGAGGATGCCCATCAATTGGGGAATAGCTGAACAACTTGTGGTATATGAATGTGATGGAATTCTATTGTGCTTATAGCACAAAATGATAAGCAGGTGGACTTCAGAAAAACCTGGAAAGATTTATACGAACTGATGCTGAGTGAAGTGAGCAGAACCAGAACATTGTACACAGTTACAGCAACACTGTGCGACAACTAACTTTGATAGACTTAGCTCTTTTCAGCAATGCAAGGATCTAAGACAACTCCAAAGGACTCATGACGGAAAATTCTATTATCCACATCCAGAAAAAGAACTATGGAGTCTGAATGACGATCAAAGCATGTTATTTGCTGTCTCACTCTTTTTTTTGTTTGTTTCTTCTTTTGGGGGGGTTTCTCCCATTGGTTCTGATTCTTCTTTACAACATGACTAATGTGAAAATAAGTTTAATATGAATGTATTGTTGTGTACATATAAAGTCTGTATCAGATTGCATGCCATCTTGGGGTAAGGGAAGGGAGGGATGGGGTGAAAATTTGGAACTCAAAATCTTATGGAAATAAATGCTGAAAACTAAAATTAAATAAATTTAAGAAAAAAGAAATACATACTTTATCTACTCAAAGAAACCCCTCACTTAATGCTAATGTCTTCCCTCCATCGAGTATCTCTAATTTATTCTGTCTATATCTTGCTTGTATATAGCTTGTTTGCATGTTGCTACCTCCATTAGAGTATGAGCTCCTTGAGGGCAGGGACTGTCTTTTTCCTTTCTTTGTATCCCTGGTGCTTTTACCAAGTGCCTGGCATACAGTAAATGCTTAATAAATGATTATTGAATGACTGAACCAGAATATAAGCTCCTTTAGATCAGCATCTACTTTGATTACTTCTTTCACATTTTGCACAGCACCTAATAAAGTGCTGAGCACGCCCTACCTAAATACTTGGAGAAAAGTGAAAAAGAATCATTTTTTAAAAGAAGTTCAGTAAATGTCTTTCTCTGATAAATAAAGTATACTGCCCATATAGAGAGTCTTGAGGCAGAGAAGTAAGGATATGCTGGAGCCAGCTTGAATCAGAGCCCGTTGTTAAATTTCTAGTGTATTTATACCTCAAATATTAGCAAACACTTCAAATCAGGGCTTGAGTGACTGTTTTGTTGGTTGTCGAGACTTAGGAGCATAACAGAGGGGGTCTGGGGCAAAGGAAATGTTGATCATCACTTGTAGGTTCTTGATAATGATGTTGTATGGCTCTCCTCCGAAATTCTACTCTAATGGAATGGAGGACACCCTGGGTCTTTGAAGACTATGCTAGTCAAGGAAAAGCTCTTACAAGACCTACCCAAGATGACAGAGTTTCAACTACAAATGCAACTCTATGACTGTCTCCAGAGGGCTAGTCTGTTTGACAGATGAATTACCAGAAGATTAAATACTGGTTAATGAGTTTTGGGGGGGCAATGACCTCTCAGGAAGACAGTTGTCTAAGGCACAGAAGAGCTGTGGTCTGCACCAATGGAAGGAGTGCCCATACTGATGAAATCTTAGACCCCAGAGAAAAATAAAAAGAAGTGTTTCTGGCACAAAGCAGTGGTTGTGGCTTGGCCTAGTACAGTGTAAAACAGAGATACCAAACATGAAGCCTGTTCAGCCAACAACACTCCGGAGTGTGGCTCGAATCACATTAAAATATTATTAGGAAATATAAAATCAATCAATAACAAATAAAAATACTATGAAATATAGATAATGTTAGTATGTGGGGGTTTTTTTTCCTAAGTCAATATGCAGCCTACAAGAATCCTAATGTATCATATAGTGGCCCACATTTCTATTTGAGTTTGATATCCTGGTGTACATAACTAATCTAATATAGCATGTTAGTTAATATACTTTCACATTTTTTACCACAGAATCAAAAAGCAGAGTAAACACTTTAGGAGTGAAGTCTTCATTCGAAATTAGGATGGAATTCATACTTATTTGTCAGAGGAAAGGGCTTCCATTTGGGAAACCGGTGGGGAGGCGACAGAGGGGGAGAAAATAACATTAAAAAAAGGAAGAATATCAATGAAATCTTTTTAAAAATACAGGTGAGTACAGAGTTTGGAAGGGACCACGGAGAAGCCAAATGGTTTTGTTGTAGCTGTTCAGTTGTGTCTGACTCTTTGTGAATCCACAGACCATTCTCCACTATCTCTCAAAGTCTAAGCTCACATTCATTGTTTTCAAGTCACCATCTATCCATCTCATTCTCTATCATCCCCTTTTTCTTTAGCCTTCAATCCATTTTGTTAGTACTATATTTAATACTTTCCCTCCGCAAAAACAAAACAAAACCGTGTAATTAAGTTCAAAGTAACATACACAATTCTCTTCTCTGTTCTTTATATGATGAAATGTCATATTTCCAAAGTCCACATCAAGAAAAAAATTTCTTTGTAAGATTGGATCATAAGATTATCAACTTAGACCTGGAAGAGACCTTTAAGGCCAATAAATCCAATTCCTTAACTTCAAAGATGAGGGAACTAGGGCACAGACATGTTAAATGTCTTGCCAAGGATACCCACAGCTAGGAAGTGACCAAGCCTCAACACTCTATCCTCACACCAACCTTTCTCCTCTATAGATTTTTAGTGGTTATGACATTCAAGATTTTTCTGAGTTCCATCAGAAGTTGAGCACTTGATAAATACATATAGGTCATGATTTTTTATGATAAACTTGAAGAATTATCTTTTTATGGGTTTGGCAAGTTCCAAGAGTCAAGTAGCGTATACAGAGTGTCCCAAAGGTCTGAGTGCAGTTTAAAGCTTTGATAGCCCTTTCACTTCTTAACGCCTTAGCAATCTGGCTTTCATCTCTATGACTATGTCTCCTCCCAAGGTCACTGATGATTTCTTTATTGCTAAATCCCGTGACCTTTTCCAGTGGTTAGCAGTACCAGAACAGAGAATAAAGAGAAAGGCTGGTTAATATAACAGTAATCCCCCAAAGGCTGGCTTATACTACCCATATTCAATTCCAGCTATCTCAGCAATGAATATTCTCTATGCCACCTTCCCCTTGCCCCTCCTCCCTTTACACCATCACCCCATTATAACTTTAAGTGAAATACCTGAAAGAAGTAGGGCCATTGTTGGAAGCATTACACATGTTTGAGAAGCCAGGGTTGCAACTTTTGAGCTCTGGAAGTGAGTGATTAGTCTTTAATTTTTTGTGTGCAGGACTTAAACTAGATTGAGAGTCAAATACGGGTGATCCATTGACTTTGTCCGATGGTAGAGCCATATATTTGCCTTTCTCCTTGGAGGGGTGCTGTGCATCACTAAAACAAATGTCACCAACAGGAGAGTTTTGAAAATCTCCACTGGACTTCATGTTTTGGTTTCTGATATGTTCCGCAGAACTGGATTTATTGCCTAGGTCTGTCAAAACCAGAGTTGTCATTCCAAATGCAGTTTTCCGGTTGATCTTCACTTCTGGATGGCGTTTGACAAAACTATTACAAGGATACTTCATCAAACTGTTGTCACAGCTGACAGAATTATTGGCATCCTCCTCTGCTTTTGCATCTTGAAATGGAAGGAAAAGGTATTACAATATATTGAGGAAGCTAGGCGGATAGAGCCTGGTACTTGGAGTTAAGAATATCTGAGTTCAAATACAGCAGTAGATACTTTCTAGGTGTGTGACCCTGGGCAAGCCACTTAACCTCTGCACATCTCTGTTTCCTCACCTGTAATTGGGATAATAATAGTACCCATTTCCCAGGGCTGTTGTGATAATAAAATGAATTAACATTTGCAAAGCACTTTAGAAACACAAAAGAGTCATAAACATGCTAGCTATTATATTTCATATAGTGTTTTGCTAGTTATTTTTTAAAAAAAGAATTTCTTGAAAAATAACTTAGATCACAAAGTTTACTCCTTGTGTTTCAAATTTAACTTTCAGTTAATAGTAATAGCATTTATACGATGCTTTGGGGCAGCTGAGCAGCACAGAAGATAGAGCAGTAGGTCTGAAGTCAGAAAGACCAGAGTTCAAATGTGACCTCAAGTACTTACTAGCTGTGTGACCAAGTCATTTGACCTCTGCCTACATAAAAGTGGAGAAGGAAACTGCAAACCACACTACAGGATCTTTGCCAAAACAAAACAAAACAACCATGGACAGTATTTTTTAAAATGCTAAAAGATATGACATTGGAAAATGAGGCCCTCATGTCAGAAGGGCTTGGCATGCTATAGTCCACCGGATCATGGAGATGGTCTACAGGATCATGAAGAGTTGGACACAACTGAATGACTGAACAAGGCTTGCAAAATGATTGATGTGTCTTAATTTGTTTGATCCTCACACAACCTTGTTAGATAAATGCTATTATTATATCATTTTACAGATAAGAAAACCGAGGCTGAGAATGGTTAAGACTTGTCCAGGATCACCCAACTGGTATGTATCAAAGGCAAGAACAGAACTCACACCTTTCCTGACTCCAAGTTCAACACTCTATTCACTGTCCCACCTAATAGTTAGCAAAAGGACTATGATTTGAGTTTCATGGTTTCCACAGTCTACTTTCATGGTACCACAGAGGAGATTTACAGAGTTTTCCATTGCCTTTCATTATGTTCCAAGAATCTACATATAACACTGAGCTATTAGCTTCTAGGAACTGGGGAGACTACAGAAATAGCAATAGTGATGTCGGGTTTTATAAAATTCTCTCCAAAGGAGCTGCAGCTGAAACCAGTACAGGTGTTTTAAGTTATTACAGTTCATAAAAGAATAGAATCTGAATGGCATTATAAGCCTTGTTTCTATGAGTAACTGGATTTACAATGAAAGCCTTATTTTAAATAATATGAATATAGATGAATGAAAAGGGCTTTTCACATTTATTAAATATTGCTGAACTGAAAATCAGAGTCTGCCCCGTAATTCCTTGTATCTAAGAACTACGGAACCTGTGTCAAGAACATGTTCTATCAGGATGTTATTCTGATCTATATCTTTGCTGCACAGGCTACCAAAGAAAATGGGAAGAAAGATCATTAGCAGAGAATAAGAATGTTCTGAATGGTGAAGTAAATTTAGAAACCCAAGGTTGCTCTTATCTTAGGACTCTAAAAGCCTCGTAATATTGGAACAAGAGGGTAAGAATTATCAAGGCAGCTTCTACTGAAAGTTGTGAAGTTCTGTGCTCAGCAAGGCCTGCTTCCTGGGCCCAAACACTAAGATGCAGAATTCCAGTCTACAAAGTGTGGGAGAACATAAGTCAAGAATGAACTTGTTCTGTTCTAATTGAGGGGGGAAAATAACAGATTGAGAACACAATAGAATCAGCATCAATGAGATGGGTCTTAATCACAGGTTTCCATGAAGGGTTTTACATTTCTCTCAACACACAAGATTGCAAGTTGCAAAGAGTTATTTTGAAGGATTTCAATGAAATCAGTACAATTGTCTATGTAAAGCTTTTAATAACAAGGGGGTGGGGAAGATAAAGAAGAGAGGAGGAATTTTTCCATTCCACCTGCAAATACATTCTTTTAGAAAACCTCTCTTTCAATTTATAACACTTGGACTGAATAACAAACTAGAAAGTTGCTGAAATCTGCATAAAACAAAGCTTTATTGAATAATTCATCAGAAACAGGGGAGGAGAACAGATGTGATAATCTCAATTTTTGAGATACAAAAGAACTTACTGTTTTAGTACAAGCATGTTTTCCCTCCCTCTAAAATAAAAGGGGGGAAAAAAAACAGGTGCTTACAGATCTCTATGGAGATAGTTTACATGCAGAAATACATATAGTGTAGTGAATAAATACTTGTACGATGGATACTTGCTCAAATTAAGGATAATTCCTTTGAGCTTTCAGGAAGAAAGTATTATTCTTATATTAGGATTACTGAACAGCAGGAAAGGGTAAAATAGATGCTTGACTTTGTATAATTAACAGTCTTGCAAACAGAATGATCAAAGAAACCCACACTCAATCTTACCATTGGGCCTTGAAGTCAAGCAAGCATCACAGCCCTTAGCAGAAGGCTTGTTTATTAGGGTGCAGACAGCACACGTCCATTCCTCCTCAGCTTTCTGAGCAACATGTTCATTAGGATACAGCCCCCTGCTATAGGCCCAGCCAATTAGACTGTTTCTTGTGGGCAGCTTGCTGCAAGATAATACATTTAAAAATCAACATTATAAGCAGATCTACTCTAAATTACTTTGTCCAGAGGTTTTGGATATTTTGGAGACAAGAACAGAAAGATCCTTTACCATGCACATTTATAATTGGATGTGTCTGTAAAATCATGTTTCTTCCTCTTTGTTGTGATTTCCAGGCCTTCCCCCAACCACCTTTATTCAGTTAACTCTCCTCCTTCTGAAATGCACTCAATCCACATATGTCACTCTATCCCGATCCTGGTGGCTGTTAGTGCCCAGTCCCCAGGTCATTCTCCCTTCCTCAGAGTTCAATATCTGGCTCACAGTTCTCCTACACATCCCAATCCTTGTCCACAAACTTGAGGACTTCTAGGTTACATAGAGATGTCCCCTCAAATACCCTTGCTTCCCAGTTCATTGCTCTCAACTCTAATGACTTACACTCAGCGATATATTAAGGACAACCATGACCTCAATCATGTCATCACCCACAAGAGTTCTATCTCTGTAACCCATAACTCTGAAATTCCTTTCTGACCATACAGACTTGTCATTTCAGCTTACCTCTCCTAAATCCCTTCTCAGTCTTCATCTTCAGTCTCTGTTTATCCCTTTCCAAATACAAACTTTAGACCAAGGATGGGAACTTGTGGCCTTCTAGGTCCTTGGGTGCAGCCTTTCGACTGAGTCCAAGTTTTACACAACAAATCCTTTTATTAAGCGGATTTGTTCTGTGAAGTTTGGATTCAGTCAAAAGGCTGCACTTGAGAACCTAGAGGGGCACAGGTGGCCTTGAAGGTTCTCCACTCCTGCTTTATACTGTTCCTGCCATCTGCCTTTTCTGTTCTTGCCCTAGTACTTCTGTGCTGAGTCTCCTAGAAACTTGGGCTCTCTAATTTCAACTGGACCTTCACTGCCAAGAGTCAATTCTTTTACTCTACACTAATCAGTTCTCTTATCTCTCTCCTCACAGAGGCTGATCTAAGCCTTTTCCTCTCCAGTCCCCATACCACCTTTCTCTCTCATCCCTATCAACAAAGGTCTTCACTCACTGAAAAAAATGAACCCACTGTAAGCTCTCTCTCATCCCTAGTGCTATACTTCAAATCACCTTAGCATCATCACCAATTCTCTCCTCCTTCGCTCTTATCAGATGAGGATAAGGGAGCCCTTCTTGCCAACTTCAACTCTTGATTTCTTCTATATCATCTCCAAGAACTTGGCTCTTTAACTACATCTATTCTTCCTCTGATTTTCATTCAGCTTTTCCCTATCCACTCCTTCCCTTTTGCCCAAAAAACATGACTAAATCTCCCCTGCCTGCAAAAATCCTTTACTTGATCCCACCATCTCAAGCTATTGCCCTATACTTTGCCTTCCTTTAATAGCCCAAACACCTAGAAAAAGCTGAGACTTAGATCTACTTTCTCACTGTCCATTCATTTCTTAACCCCTAGCAATCTGTCTTTTGTCTCTATGACTAGATAGAAACTGTTTCCTCCCAAGGTTAGCAATGGTTTCTTTACTGCTAAATCAAACAGTCTTTTCCAGTGGTTAATAATATCAAATATCCCCTCCTGCTAGATACTTTCTCCTCTCGGGGTATTCATGACACTCTCTGTTGTGATTTATTTTCTCACCTATTAGACTAATTCTTCTTGGTCTCCACTGTAGGATCATCATTTGTATCTTGTTCCTTATGCATAGGTGAATCCCAGGCCTATGTCCTAGGTTCTATCCATTTCTCACTATTTTGGTGATATGTAATGCTTAATAATAAAGGCGCATTGACAGATTGATTTAATCATCACTTCTGGAAACAACTATCATCTATATTTAGGTAACTTCTAAACATATATCCAGCCCTTATTCTCTTATCCTCCAGACTCATATCTCCATTTGCCTCCTAGAAATCTCTACTTAGAAGTCTCAAATTCAAAATCCCCAACAAAATTCATTTTCTTCCTTTGTCCTAACTTCACTATTTCTATCAAAGATTCCTCCAACTTTCCAGTCACCTAAGTTCACAACCTTATCTTTCACTTTCACCAAAGTCTTGGCAGTCCCTTCTCTGTAACATCTCTTATATCCATCCCTTTCTCTCCACTTACCCTCCAAGTACCACGGTTTATCCAGTCCCTCTTCACAGGCTTTCACAAACTTTTATAATTTTCTCCAATAGTCAATATCTCCCCTTTCCAATCCATCCTTCACAGAGATTCCAAAATGATATTGCTAGATTTGTTGGTATTTGTCTCACGAGATAGATGTAATTTAGCTGAGGACTGGAAATTAACACAATGACCAAAGTTCTTCCACTTGTTACAGGTGTTAAGCTACCTGAGGACAGGAATTTGTGCCACAAAACTTCCAGAAGAAATATTCTTCTGACGTTATCATGAGGTTATTTTCTCTTTCTCAAAGACCAACTACTGCAGAAGACTCTCCCTGACCCCTGAGCTGTTAGTGCCTTCCCATCTATGGTCACCTTGTGTCTACTTTATATGTATCACACCCGGATGTATATATCACATCTTCTTCATTATAATGTAAGCTCCTTGAGGGCAAACTGTTTCATTTTTGTCTTGGAATCCCCAGTGACTAACACAGGCCTGGCACATAATAGGTACTTAATAAATATTCAGTGGTTAATTTCTTCACAATGAACTAACCAATTTTAGATATATCTTCTTACTAATTCTCTTGGCATTCTTAGGAGGCAGAATTATAAGAAAGTTGTACTGAAGGTGAATATCTTACCTTACATCAATGGACTGAGGATTTTCCTTTTGACAACGAGGGCAGAAATATGTCATTCTGTTATTCTCCCCCAAGCGACATACAGTTATCTTGCTTCTACACTGACCACAGTCAGAACGTTTATACACCTTATAGTGTTTATAAAGAGCTGAGCCTGTTTTGCGGCACTTAAAACAAAACAATTATGTGACTTTATGTTACCAACTAACATGACAGTTGTGTTGCTAAGGAATCAAATTTATAATCTTCAACGTTATTCATAGATATGATATCCTAAAGAGAATTTGAAAAGATCTGCATTTTTTTATCTTTTAAAAAAAGATGTTGGCAAGAGTCTTAAACACCTGTCATTTGACACAATTGCTTCATAACCTTATGTCTTGTTTACATTTCTTGTTCTTTGCTTACAGTCATCTTACTGTCTATAGTGGGATTTTACTTCAAATGCAATGAAGTGTTCTCAAGAGAATTCCATGCCTGGTCACTTTTTGAAAAATCTAATCCTTCTCTTAAGTCTAATTTCAATAACCCAGAAGACATCTTCCTCTCGTGGGCAGTATTTTATTCTAATTTCTAATGCCCAGATCTGGTTTAAAGCATTAAGCTTTTATAGTGCAGTGTAAAGAACATTAGATTTGGATTCAGAAGACCTGGCTTTGAGTTCTGGCTCCACTACTTATTAGCTGTATGACATTGGGCAAATTCCTTATCCCCTTTGTGCCTTAGTTTCCTCATCTGTAAAATGGGGATAATGATATACTGTTAAGGGGGTGAAGGAGCACTGGACTTGGAGTCTAAGTTTAAATACTCCCTCAGACATTTAATTAGCTGTGTGACCTCTCAGCCTCAGTTTCCTTATCTGTAAAATTGGGATAATAATAGGACTTATTTCACAAAGTCATTAGAATAAGAACAGATGTAAAGCAGATTGCAGACCTTAAATCACCATATAAATGCTAGTTGTTTTTATTATCATTATTATTATTACCTACCTTACAGGGTTGTACAGTTCAAATAATACAATGTGTATAAAATTACTTTAATTATAAAGTACTATATAAATGTCAGCAGTTATTAATATCATCACCATCATCTTACACCTACTCTAAAAAACATTCAATACATTTCCAGTACAGAAAGTATTCTGTTTAGGTACAACACATGAACAATTTCAATGCCATTTCAAAAGACATTTTGACAGTTTCCGTCAGATATAATCCTGCTCACAGACTATTTAAAGAGAACACTGTGGCTTTCAATCAGCAGTATGAAATACTGTTCAGCATATATTAACTGAAAATTACACACAGATTTAATATTAATTTGGCAAGGTATTAAAATTTCAAATTTATAGGATGGACAAAATGGGAAATTTTCTGTAACCAGTCTCTCTGGGAGAACACACGAAAACAGAAATACCTAGTAATGAGCCAGGAAGTACTTGTATACTTTTCATTCGATTATGCTAAAAATTGCCAAATGCTCTAAATCTAACCGAGGCCATCCTTTTTTATTCCGGTAAACATGACAACTGAGCACCCAATAGATACACTAACACACTGTGATACTGTTGTATAGTCACTACTAGGGTGGGTGTGTCCAAATGTATTTTTAAAAAGCAAAATATTTTTATTAACTTTATAAGGCAGTATCACCCAATGTAACTTCTTTTTCCTCTACCCCCCTCACCCACAGTAGTTCATTCTACATGAAATGCAAGTAGAGGATAGAACACATAGTTTGGAGTCAGGAAGAACAGAGTTCAAATCCTACCTCTTGCACTTACTAGCTATGTGACTCTGGAAAAGTCACTTAATTTACCTGGCCTCAGTTTCCTTCTATAAAACAAGGAGGCTGGATTTGATGACCTCCAATATTTCTTCTAGCTCCATACCTATGGTCCTTTGAAAGACAATTGGACATAAGGTTCATCAGCCTTGCCATTTTTGGTCAAATACGGACCAACACATACTCTATATGATTTAGGGGAAAGTTGGTTTCTTCCCCTAAAGTAACAATGTTGTTATGAGGTAGCTTTATATTCTCTCCATTAGATGAAAATTTTTGTTGTCAACAAAAATAAAGTTGAATATTTAGATAAGTTCAAACATTTTGCTCTTACCCTATAAAAGAGGATTGTAAAGTCACGTATCATTTTCACAAGGTGACGTATCTGTTCATCTTTTAGCTGAGAAACCTTAAAATGAAGGGAAAATGCTTAAGGATATTTTGATCACGTTTATTATTTTGAAATTTTAAGAAAACACATCAGTAGGATGGACAACGAAGGCTGCTAATTACTTCCTGACAGAGAGGTGATGGATTAATATGCAGAATGAGACATATGGATAATACGGGAATTTGTTTTGCTTGACTATATATGTTTGTTACAAGGGTTTTTTTTTTCCTTTTTTGGAGGTGCATATAGGAGATAAAAAAGTGAAAAAAGTAAAAATCTAAAATATTTAAAGTGCATCAGTAAAATAATTATGCACATGTGGATGATATATAAACATATACAGGTAACATAATATAGCAGACAAATAGATAGGCAGGTTCCAATACTTTCTCTATCCTGACGGGTCATATATTAATTTATAAACACTGTATTCTGAAATGTCAGTACTAAACAGAACACTATTCTTTTAATGACATATTTTATTTATTTTATTTTTCCCCAATTACATATTTAACTTTTTTTTTTAAAGTTCTGAGTTCTAAATTCTATCCCTCTTCCCCCCTACCCCAAGATGGTAAGCAATTTGATATAGGTTCTACAATGTTCAATCATGTAAAAACATTTCCTTATTAGTCATTTTGTACAAGAAGACTTGAATAAATGAAAAAGAATGTAAGAAAGTGAAAAATAGCATGTTTCAGTCCATATTCAAACAATATCAGTTCTTTCTCTGGAGGTGAATAGTATGCTTCATCGTCAGCCCTTTGGGATTGTCTTGGATCACTGTATTGCTGAGAATACTTCAGTCCTTCACAGTTCTTCATCAAACAATATTGCTGTTACTGTGTACATTTTCCTGGTCCTGCTCACTTCATTTTGCATAAGTTCATATAAGTCTTTCCAGGTTTTCCTAAAATCATCCTGCTTGTCATTTCTTATAGCACAATAATATTCCATCATGATCATATACCATAGTTTGTTTAGAACTATTCACCAGTTAATGGGCATCCCTTCAATTTCCAATTCTCGGAATATTATTCTTATAAACAAATATAAATTATGCATTCAAATCTTTAGTGCTCTGACAATATTCAATATACTTCTGTCACTGTTCCCTTACCTGTATAGAGGAGTTTGACCTAAATGAGTTTTAAACCCTTTCCAATGTCAATATCCTATGACCAGTAAGTAATTTTTTTTAACGGAAGAACTTATACATAGACCTGATTGAGGTTTGTTTGGTTTTTTTTAAATAAAAGTCCTAAATAAACTTCAGCATTATCCTTGAAGAATTCATTATATTTGACATGTACTTTCTAAGACTGTTTCAGAGGAAATACCTTCTACTTCATCCTACAACACTCTGAGTTTATGTAGAGATAGAAGAATCTAGATGTCTTTGATGATACCTCTTCTCTCTTAGTTTTCATAACACCCCTGGGAAGCTGTAGTTGCCACACTTCTATTTTATAGAGAAATGAGGAACTTACTCTGCCTCCTGACAGTGTGAGCATGGAAGAGATCCAGGGTTTTTTTTTTTTAATTTTCTTAATACCTAGTGCCCTATACCTTGCAACTTGACTCCAAGGGTCCAGGAAGTTTTGATTCTTCTAACAAATGACTTCTGTGAATTTAACATTGACTGTGAAATGACCTAGTCTAAGGGAGTAAGATGGGACTAGACATATTGATGATGGGCTTTTAGAACAATCTTACTGGAGAAAAGAGAAGAGGATATTCTGTGCTGAACTAAAATATACACATAGGAAGAGAGAATGTCACCACCTCTAACATGTTTGATAAAGTTAAAGGGCTATAGGCTTGGCTTTTGATGCAGGGCATGAAATGGAAATCAGTATATATGCAGTAAGACAACTTGAAATATACAATATGGTGTAGTTAAAAGAGTGCTAGATCTGGAATAAGGAGATCTCTGGTTTCCAGCTCTGGTGGAGACACTAATTAATTCTGGGACTTTGGGCTGGTTACTTATCCTCTTTGACCTTCAGTTTCCCCATCTATAAAATGAAACAATAATCTGGGAATAAGGTATTCTTATAGGGCTGTTGTTAGCAAAGTGCTTAGTCAACCTTACAGCGTATGTAAATGTGAGTTGTTATGCTTATTAATTTACTAACCAAATTCCAAAAGAGAGAATGCACAAAAAATATTTATGGCATCACTTGTTGCAGCAATGAAATGGAAACAAAGAGGAATGGCTGAAGAAGTTATGGTAAATAAATGGAATACAATTGTGCTGTAAGAAATGATGAAAAGTCTTTACCTTAATGAGATATGATTTTAAAAAAAAATCAACATATTCATGGAAAAATTTCAGGTTCTTTCTCCCCCGCATGAATTTCAATAAGAGTAATCTAATTTTATTTTAACTTTGGGAGGTTTCTTTTCCCCTGAGCCTTCTATAATACTTAAACCCAAATGTAGCATGTCTGGCTCCCAGGACACAAGAAACAAATGAAAAATTCAGGTAGTTCAACTTAATAATATGAACTAAGGAATCACAAGAGGAAAGAGGCATTCACTAGGGTGAATATTAAGTTTTGGTGGTTTGTATTTGGAACTGACAAGATTTTAATTTATCTTTCATCTTTACCACTAAATTACATGTAATTATATGACCTTAGGCAAGTCACTAAAGGTCTGGGCCTCAGCAAGGATAGAGTCGGGCTCTAGAGACTCTTCCAGTTCCAACAGTTGGTCTGTGATTCTACCAGCACACGGCTAATATTTTTCATATCATTTAGTTTTCCAAAGGAACCATTTGGTTCGAAGTGGTATTTTCCACGTCAGAGTATCTGTCACAGAGATTTCCGAATAACTGGTGACAGAATTCGAGTGACCTTGGAAAGGGAATTTCAGGTCATTCCTGTTCTTTGCACAGCTCCTAGATGGGGGTTGTCTCATTAGGAGTTATATAACCTATATGTTTTTGTGCCACCAAATGCAGGAAAATATATTAATTGCACAAATCTGCTGTTTAAACTGGAGCTTATTGGCCTCCTTGGTCCTACACAGAAGGGCTGATATTTTAAGTTGAAGATTTCGTTGTAAATTAATCCATCTTACATAGACTTTTTGTTCATTTGAATTTAAAGTTGGTTATTGTTCTTGTTAAATGATTTTTTTAAAAAATAAAACTGGAAATTCAAAATAAAAAAGATGAAAAGGATGGGTTGAAAGAAACTTAAGATTTGCATGAACTGATATAGAGTGAAGTGGGTAGAGTCATGAGAACGACTTATACAGTGACAATGACATAAAAACAAACTTGAAAAACTTAGGAACTCTGACCAGTGTATTGACCAACTACAATTCCAGAAGACTCATGAAAAATGGTACCCACCTCCTGAGAGGTGAAGGAGTGAGAGCAGAATGAGACTTTTTTTAAAAAAAAACATGGTCAATGCAGAAATTTGTTTTGCTTGACTATACAAGTTTGTAACAGAGGTTTTGTTTTTCTTTCTCATTTGGGGGAAGAGAGGAAAAGAAGGATGTTTGCCAATTAAAAAATTAATTTAAAAAATGCGCAGAAGAGAACTAAGGAAAGTTCAGAAGTAAACACTGATAAGTAGACACAGCTCTGAAAGTCACATGTTAAAATCTATTATTTACTTCTAAAAAAAGCCAACTGTATAGAACAGGAATTCTTTTACTTGTATACTTTGTACATGGAAATGTTTCTTTTGTCAATGTTCATTAAATTCAGATTTTTTTTAAATGTAAATAAATGAACCAAATTAAACCAAATTGAATTTTTGTGTTTTACACTACTATGATCTTTGTGACTCCCTGAGACATCCTGACCCTCTTTTTACTGGGGAGTTACTTTTCACACTTAGGATGGCCAGTTCTATCTGTGCTGCCATGACTTTTTTTTTTTGTTCCCTTGACTTTATTCTTAGATTTTATCATCTTGCTTCTCTAATGAAAGCTACTGAGGCAAATACATACCTATTAACATTTTCACTATTTTGCTTTCTTGTGTTTCTATTGATGTTTTCGTTCTCTGTTGCTTTGCAATTTAGTTGTTTGCTTCTTGCTTTTTTGTGTACTTTTTTTTGGGGGAGGGGTGAAATTAGAATCTTCTTTTGATGTGCTTATAATATAATTTAATTTATTATATGCTATTTCTAATAACACTGTTGGTATAGATTCACCTTGCATTTCTGTAGTTGTTTTGTCTATGAGGGATAATCCATTTGTGTTATGAGACACTAAAGACCTTCTTTAGTTCTTTAAGGTCTTCAATCTGAAGACTTTGGTTTGAATCCTAGCTCTGCCCACTTGCTACTTGAGGGACTTTGGGCAATCACTTAACATCTCTGAGGCTCAGTTTCCTTATTTGTAAAATGAAGGAGTTGGATTTAATGGTCTCTTGGGTCACTTCCAGCTCTAGATCAATGATGATTCTATGGTCTGCTGATGAAGCTACTTTGGCTACTTCTGTGGTGATGGGCTCTTCCTATAGTTTCCCATAGTTTGTATTTGATTTCATTCTATAATCATATTTTGTCAAACCTGAAGCTTCTTCTCTGACGTTTGAGCAAAGCAGCTCATGTAGGCTAAAGTTCAGTTTCTCTCTAAAGGCTTAAGCTTGTTAGTTAAAGAAAAACTCTGTTCTCCAATGTTCTCATAACACATTATCTCAGCATTTCCTGCAGGGTCTGTGGGGTATCCTTGAGAGGCTAGGACTACCTAAACTTGTCCCATCTTGAACAATTAAGGTGATCTCATCTTATTCCCCAGCTGCTGCTGAGTCTGCCCTTACCAGTAACCTAAGGATGCAGCTGGACCCATAAAATTCACAAAAGCATTTCTAAGAGATCTAGAGAGGTGGCTGTTGTCCCACCTGGGGCTATGTCCACTTTCTTTGATGTCACCAATAATCTCTCATCTCTATAGGGCTGGCCAATTACGTAATTATTATTCTTTTCTTTGTTCTAAGCTTGTAAAAAAACATATTGCACCCTTAATTCGAGGTCTTCTGGCCAGAGACAGGGCCAGTTGACCCATCCTTATTATCAGGTTGTATGCCCCATTCATAAATGAAATCTTGCTTGGAAAATTACCCTTTCATTAAATTTCACTTATTGAACCTTCCTTTATTCTACTTCACCTAATTTGCATCTGACCAATAACCTGTATAAAAAGTCATAGGGGTAGCAAAGTGCAGCTTCTTCTGTTTTGTTCTGCCTAGGAGCCTGGACAGTTCAATATGGTCATACCCTCCCTCCTTCAGCCTACCCTAGAGTTTCAAATGACACAAACGCCCTTTGGCCTCTTTGGTTGTTCATAGAAATTTCTTTTTTTTTCTTGTTAGTTTCCCCCACCCTTACTGGTGTACTTTTGCTTGTGATGGGGAAGGGGAGGCAATATATCAATTAGAGATGATATCGGCTCTTATTTACTAATGTTCCCAGTTACCCTCTTCTTGCTTCTCCTCACCCTACAACTCTACCTCCAACTCTAGAGGAAGAATTAGCAGAAGTAAAAACTTTGGTAAGTATCCAGAGAAAGCCTTCAATGTCTCACAAGAGGTTCTGAGAGGACACCAAGGATAAAGAAAATATAAAGGGAGAAAAGTATGCTTATTAAGATATCTCTTAAGATTTATTTTCATAGAGCTTTGTAGTCAGTTGGAATCAGTGTGAATACTGGTTATAACAGCTGGATAGATATTAAAGCATTCTGTTTCAATAAGAGGCCAGACTAACATCTTTCAAACCAATGAAGAAAGCAAAACTGAGTCTATGCATTTAATTGACTTACAATAACACAATCTGAATTTAGATAATCTAACAGTCCTAAGTAACATCCTTTTCTCTCTCCTTACTGCAATAAACACTTTGCTACCTGCCCGTTATCAACAAATACTCCCCAGTCTTATGGTGACTGGGTTAAAACAAAAAAAAAAAGACTACCACCACCAAAAAACAGATGTATTCTCATACTTTCTATTAGTAGGGTACTGACTTATTTAACTTTTTCCTTACTAGTAGAAATGTTATTGCTAGCTATGGTCACACAGAATCTATAGTCACAACAGATGATAAACATTAGTGGGCTCATATAGAGACCACAGAGAGTAAGGCATACTTGTCAGACCCAGGAAAAATGTCTAGCTTTGGGGTTGGGTCTTAACCTGGGATCCATGAACCATGGGGTCTGTGGACAGATTTGAGGGGATCCAGAAACTTGAATGGAAGAAAATTAATCCTTATTTTCCATAAAACCTAACTGAAATTGAACATTTCCTTCCATTATGAATGGGTTAAAAAGAACAACAACAATATAAATCTGAGAAGGCTTCCACAAGATTCACTAGACTTCCAAAAGACTACATGATACAAAACAAGGTAAGAGCCCTTGGTCTACTAATAAAATAACCACATATGACATAAATTTGTAAGGCGCCATTGACTGGGACATGGTATTACTCCTCTAAGTCACAGTCTCACTATTCAACAGCCCTATTTAACTGGTTTCAAGAAACATATACTTTGATGCTAAAACAAACAAACAAAAAACACTTATCAGTGTCTTTTTTCCCCCTAAACAACTCTAAGATGGACTTAAATACATCACCACCCAATATATTCTATTCCAATGTTACCTCATCACATAAAAGTGACTCTGTGCTCTCAAAGCCTATGCTAGTAAAGGGCAATCTCTTGCAGGTCCTCTATAAGGTTACATAGACTACAAGTATAGCCTTGGCCATGGGCCAAGTGCCTACACATCATCAAAAGCTGATTAGCAGGCAACATCTCTCTGTTGCTGTTTTTTCTCTGTCTGTCTCTATTTCTCTTGTCTGCCTCTCTTGTCTTTCTTACCTCTCATCTGCCTCTAGCTCTCTTGTCTGTGTCTGTGCTTCTCTGCTTTTGTCTCTGTCTCTGTCTCTCTCTGCTTATGAAGACATTCACTATGGCAGGGCAGCTTTGCAAGCTGCTGCATCAGTGGAAGGAGCATCCACCCCACGTGAAACTATGGGTCCTGGAAATGCTGAAGTATGTGTGCCACCGCTTCTGTGGTAGGCGTATCCAACACACAGAAAGAGGTTTCTGTGAATGTTATTCTGGTAATAGTTCATTATTACACAGACTGATTTGTATTCTGGATTAACCCCACCACGACTGCAATTACACATAAAAAGGTATGTATGGTGTCTTTCTTCTTGGCAGAGGTGGGAGGGTGATGGGTGTGGAATACTGTATTTACAATCAGTCATGGCTTCTGTTATGGTTGATTTTACCAATCTAATTTTTTTTCTTTGTTACAAGGGAATGCTCACTGGGCAGGTAGGTAGGATATATATTTCAGAATAAAAATAATGTACAAACAAGAGACATCAATAATTTTTAAAGGCTAATACTGCACAGTATTGGAGAAGGATATGACAAACTGTACCAGTATCTCTATCAAGAAAACCACAAACAAGATCACAAAGAGTCAGACATGACTGAAAAACGACTGAACAACAACATGGTATGGTATGTGAGGTGAAGGCTAATTCTATTCCCTAATCCCCAATAGTACGAAGGAGTTCTACTATTTCTACAAATAGAGAAACGCGAAAAACAAAAAAACCTCTTTAAGACATACTTTAACTGCTGGGTGGAGTCCACTATCAAAGAGGGCTTCATTTTTGATGATGTTTCCAACACCAGGTAACATATTCTGGTCTAATAACACATCACACAACATCCGGTCCTTCTGCTTTTTCACTTCACTTTCTGCCCTTGAGATGTTAAATTTGGGTGAGCAGACATCTAAATCTTCCATCATTTTTATCCTCTGTTTACTTTCCAGAGAACTCCTGAAGAACAGGAAATATATTACCTTTGAGTAAGTTCACAATTTTGTTAATTAAGAAAAAGAAAACATACATTTTATGGGCTTTGTCATAAATACAAATAAATCATGACCAACCTGGATATGCCAATCATTTATATGAAATATTGACATAATATTTGGGAGAATTTATTTCTCATGATGAGGCAGCTCGGTGGCATAGAGAATAAGAGAGCTGGGCTTGAAGTCAGAAAGTCCTAAGTTCAAATCAACCCTCAAACACTCACTAGCTCCGTGACCCTGGGCAAGACACTTAAGCTCTCTGGACCTCAGTTCCCTCACCTGTAAAAATGAAGCCCGTTGGATTTGATGACCTATAAGGTATCTTTCAGCTTGTCAGCTGTAAGTATGATCCTGTGAAAATTTTGAGGTGATCATAAAGTTTCCTACAGCGAAAAGAAAGCAAAATTAAAGACATCAGACCTCTGTCCAATGTGGTGACTAATCATACTTTAGTGAATTGTTGAAGCATGACTCGTTACTATCAGCAGAGGTCATAGATGACAGAGGTAGAATGGAGAATATTTTGTAAATATAGTCAATGTGTTGATTTGTTTTGCTCAGCTATACTCTAATTTGAGGGAGGGTTCTATGAGAAAGGGGTAGAAGAGAATCATTGGGTTGCAACTGGTGGAAAAAAAAGGGAAAGAGCACCAATAAACACTTATTTTTTTTAAACCTACTTAAGGTAGAAAGCTAGAGAAAGTACTCATTCTAGGATGAGGCTCACCAACATTTGATATAAACACTTATTTTTCATTTATGTTCCTGGTCCCCAGTCAAATGCTGGACATTGATTTTTTTTTTAAGGGATTTTATCTCACCTGAATTCTACACTTGAGTCATAGAAACAAATCAAATCTTTAGTGAGCTGTAGTTCAAAAACCGGGGATGCTCTAGTGTGATCTTTGCTCTTGAGTGGATTAATCAGGACAGCACCATTCATTCCAAAGTGAATTCTGAAAAACAAATACAATTCTGAGAGATGCTAATGGCCAAGCTAGCCAGAGGCAGTGATAAGACAAGTATTCGCTTTTTACTGCCTAATTTCTGGAAAGGAAGGCTTTCAGGCTGCAAGTAAATGGTACCATAGTTATTCAGCACAAGTCTTCAACCTTTGAGTGTTTTTGTTCTATTTCAAATTAAAATTGCAGATGAACTGTTTTTACCAAAGACTGACCTCCCCAGAGAAATGTTACTCTTTTCTAAAGGATACAATAGTAAGACTAAGTAAATATAGCCCTACTTTTTCGTTTATAGTTGGATCATTTTTAATTGGAAGAGAAAACTGTCTTTTGTTAAAAAAAAAAAAAAGACTAGTCTATGGATAGCCTAGACTTTTCTGAATTATGAGTAAAAATTATACAGGAAAAAAAGACTAAGCTGCATTATTTGTAACATATGTTAAAGAAAATACTTTAAATCCCTTAATATATCTTATTTCCATTTACTCCAATGGGAAAGGTGTACATTCTTCTAAAAAAAATTTTATTTAATTTTAGTTTTCAGCATTGAAAAGTGTACTTTCAATAATATTTACCATCACAAGATTTAGCCTAACCATGTCATAATATTTACCCTTTATAGTGTACATTAGGGAGAATAATGTGAGAAAATTTGAAGACTTTTCTACATTTCAAAGGAAAATCAGATAAAACACTATCATCTCCTAGCCATGCCAGGCACTGATCTCCTTTTAAGAAGTATTGGAAAGAAGAGCTTTATAAATATTTACGATTAGCTTTAAAGCTACAATGTCACTACGAAAAATTCATAAGCTTTCAGTTTATATAGGATTGATTATTAGCATGTCCAGTTTTTTTTTTTAAACAGTGCTTGTGTAAGACCTCAGATGAGAAAGATCAAAAATGATTTTCAAGATGAAGAACCAGATCTTGGCTTTCAAACGCTCCTCCTCACAGCTCCACCAAGTTAATAAATAGAGCTAGGTTGGCAACAAATGTTACTGCTATGTGCTTCTAATTCTAAAGTGCCATGTTAAAGTATCGTACAAGGTTAAGCAGGCTCACTTTAAAAATGTGGGCTTTAAACTCCATATGCCCTGCTATCCATCATAAGTGCATTTAACATGCCCCATGGTTTCTGAAAGGAAAAATGGGTGCCTATAAGTACTCCATAATTTACTCCATGGACGTTTACTCCCTGGGAAAGGTGCACAACTGTCATGCCCAGAAGTCATCATATCCAAAGTCTTTTCAGTTGCATGGCTCATATAATAACTCTTCCATTATCTTCTATAATGAAACTTCATATGGGTTAGAGGGCTGGGCTAGAAAACCTCTAGTCCTACAACAGGATTAACACTGAGAAGTACCTGGAAATGAGTTAGTCTTTTTAAAAAAAATCAAATGACTTCTATATCATCTCCTCATTTAGCCTCCAGGAAAGTCCTCATCTGGTTCATTATAGAGTGGAGGTGATCCTGAGCTCTCCAAGGCCATGCTGACTGGGCCTGAGCTTTGGCAGGTGCTATTATCAAGCTAGAAATGCTTCAAGTATATAGGCTTGGCAAGAATGATTTGGTTTTTCATCCTAGGACCAGTCTAGTTAACTTTGGGTAGGCTCATAAAGAGGTTCAGAACAAAGTGATGGATTTTTGGCCACAGTCACTCATGAAGACTGATTACTAAAGCTTTTAGGAGAGAGGGAAAATTGACACTGGGGTCCTACTCATAGTGACAACTTTTAAGATCCTTCAGTTGTTCAAGTTTCTTTACTTAGGGAGAAATGATTGGACACATATTTGTCAGATTTTATTTTGCTATAAGCAGAAGCTATTAGGCAATACGTGTGTGTGTGTGTGTGTGTGTGTGTGTATATATATATATATATATATATATTTATTTATTTATTTATTTATTTATTTGTATTATGTGTGTGTGTGTATGTGTGTGTGTGTGCGTGTTGTGTATACATATAGTTATTATATGCAAGTAACCAAGCACCAGTGAAGGAATCATATTTAGGTTATCCACCATGCTATTAGCTACTTGAACTGGAGTGTGGTATTGCAGCTATCATGTTATACTTGGTATCAACAGATCCCACTGGGTTGGAAGCTTAGCTCCAAAATTTGCCACTGGTGTGATAAAAGCAAGTTACTTCACTCCTTTGAGACTCAGTTTCCATATTCATAAAATGATGGGGGTAGTAATATTTACACTATTTGCCTTATAGTATTATATATAAACGTGAGTTATCATCATTATCTCTTAGGGATTTCAAAATTAATAATTATTATGAACACATTAGCCTGTCCAGTATATATTTTGCTTTTTAATATTTTAAAACTCAGAACTATTACTTTCCATTTAGAGAAGCAGTGCCATATAGTGTGAAAAAACACTGGATTTGGCCTCAGAAGACCTGAATTATGTTAACCACTACCTTTGTGCCCTTTTCATTTAACCTCTCTGTTTCCTCTAAAATAACGGGGTTGGAATTAGATGACATCTGAAGTCCTTCCTAAATTTAAATCCTCTGAATCTACAACAAGGACCCAGGCTCCATCAAGAAGGGATAAATGAGAAGTCAATAAATTTGTTTTCTTACTTCATCATCCATTCCTCCATAACCTGTGACACCAGCCTTGGTTCCCTACCAGTCTACTGACATTTCTCTCTGGTGCCATCCTTTTTTTCCAAAGCCAATCTCCTTTTCTCTGACCACATTCTGCCTGACTGTTCTGTGGCACTAGTGACCTTTCACCTTCCTTGGCTATTTTTTAACTGTCTATTTAGTTCATTGCTCCTCCATCTTCTATTTTTGTTCATTTTTGATAATTTTTCTTCTGAGCAACTCTTTAGTTACATCCTAGAAGTTTTGGTATATGGACTCATCATTACACTTCTTTTGTATTCTTGACATTAAGAAGGCCAGTTTTGATAGACCATAAACTGCAGGAAAAAGAGTAATGTATCAGGCTGGAAAGGTAGGTTAGTGTAAGGTTATAAGAGGCTTTTTACACAGACAGCTGTGTCACATGGTAGATTAATCACTTTTTACAGAGCTCTTTTACTCTGTAAGCTTCCAAAAAAAGGGGGAGGGAGAGAATTATGTCACAGATGTAGAGTGATTACAGCTAAGTTCACAGGACAAAGATGAGAACCTTTAAAAGGTAAAAGTCCTTATTAATTAACACTTGAGAACTCTAGTCTTTTGTGCTCAGATGGAACGCACAAAGTAATCTATAGGTTTGTGCCCAAATCACACTGTGGGATTCTCTGCATGGCAGACTGCCAGAATACCCCATCTCCTGCCTGTCCCTCACCCCCACAGCAAAGAGCAGACACTTACTTTGCCCAGCCATGTGAGGAGGAAGAGAGGAATAAAAGTATATTGCTTTCTTAGGCTCAGAATTAGGTTAGGGACTCTACCTGGAACACTCTCATTCTCCTCCTTTCGCCTGCAAAAAGTTTACTTAATTTTGGTAATACTCATTTAGCTCATGCAAAAAAAGGAAAAGAGAACCGAGGAAGAAAGTAAAGGAGTCAGCATGTGTCTGTGTTCAGCTTTAAGAAAAGGGAATAGAACCCAAGTAGAGGCCTGCTCTGTCCTTCCTCTAAGCTACTCAGGGTAGTGACTCAGGCTGGTGAAGCCTAAATTCCCCAGTATTTGAGTAGACTGAGGTATCTTTATATACCAGTTGGAAAAGTATATCAGTGAGGGTGGGGGAGGGAAATCAGAAATATGAGTGGTGAGAGAATATCTTTTTCAAGTTGAAACACTGAAGATTTCAAGAAGGAAAACTATCCAAAAAGAAACAAACAAACAAAAAACCTGAGGGCACAAGTAGACAAATCAAATCTTAAGGTTAGAAGAAAGGCTAGGCACTAAGGGTCCTAAGGTCAGTAGGAAGGATTGGCACTACCTCTTCAAATCTCTTTTAACAAATATTACACAGCAAAACAAAGTGAATCAATGCCTGATGGAGTTGACTCCAAAGAGATAGTGTCATGACAAGAAATTTGACAATGATTCAAAAGACAAATGAAAAACATAAAAGATGAAATGAGGAATGACTAAACTTCAAAACTGAGAGTTCTCAATGAAAAAATTTTAAAAAGTCAATTAGTAGAATAGAGAAAATTGAATCCACAATGGAAAGTTAACTTTAAAACAGTGACATTAACATTTTGAAACACAAAAATACTGAGATGGAGAAAAACACTAGTATAGAAGCAAAAGGCAAAAATGTTAAAAAGAACGTAAGAACTCTATGCAAACTAAAGCAGTTGACTGTGAAGATAGGATAGGCAGAGACAACTTAGGTAATGCAGGACATCATCCAAGAAAACTGTGCAGAATTTCTGAATGTAGAAAACAAAGCATAAATTGAGAGAACCCACAAATTGCCTCCAGGAAAATAAAATCTACCTCTTCAAGCTTGAAGACAGATAATGGTTAAATTTAACAATGCCAATGAGAACAAACTCTGTAAGAAGCCAAGAGAAGGATCTTCAAACATAAAAGAAAGGAAATCTAAATAACACAAGACTATTCCTCAGCAATGAGAAATCACAGGAAGGAATGGAAAAAACATTCTGAACCGCAAAGGTGCTGAAACTGCAATTTAAAAATAACGTATCCTGCAAACTTGACTAATAACTAATGAAAAAGAAATTGATGTTAAATAAAAGGGGGAAAAAATGAGTAGAGTATTCCTAGTACAAATACAAAAACCAAAAGAAATACACGAAAGGTAAATAAGTACAATTATCATGGAAAGCATAAATAAGGAAACAAATTACTCCATTGTAAGAGATTTTGATGTGGGTTTAAGAAAAAAGTAACACCAGAAAAAACAAAGACGAGCTTACATATTATATTACAGGAAGTAGAGAATCACCGAGTTTACTGAAGAGGGCAGGGAGATGGTCAGACTTGTGTGTAAGGAAAATCACTTTGACATCTGTGAACTGATTATTCTAATGTCTCT